GGKKGRGRRGSCCCTGCAGAGGTTGCCSAGAKGAGCTGTRGCTGCTCCTGGATCCCTGGGGGTGTCCAGAYTGGATGGRSCTTGGAGCAATCCGGGACGGTGGAAGGTGTGTCAGGGATTTGGAACTTGATGGCTTTGAAGATCCCTCCCAACACAAACCACTCAGTGATTCTGTGCTTCCACAAAAGCCCCGGTGCCTGCAGGGTGCAGGTGTGAAGGGAAAAAGCTCACCTGGCTGTGGAACATCCCTTCCCACAGCAGAGCCGGCCTGGACTCTGCCCCGAGCTGTGCTCAGGGCGTGGGGGGAGCGAGGAACAGATGGGGAGCTGCTCTGGGGGCAGCAGCAAACACAGCCAGATGAGCGGGCAAACACGGCACAGCTTCGCTGTCCTGCTCCCTGGACAGGGCTGTGGGGCTGTTCACAGGRTGGCCCAGTTCACAGGGCTTCAGTCACATCACTCAGCCACATCTCAGGGGCCACCCAGGCTTGGCTCAGTTTCAGGCACACCCAGGACCTGTTACCGGCCCCAAATCCGCAGAAAACCTTTTGGGATCACCCAGACAGACCCTTTGGGTGTCACCCAGAGCAGCTCAGGAACCAGCCACGCTCCACACAGCCAGGGCAAAGCTCTGTGTGACAGAAGGGTGGGCAGAGATGCTTTGGAAGCCCTGTCACAGCTTCGTGGCAAGGTCCAGTCCATTCCCATCAGCCAGRGAGATTTTGGGAGGGAGATTTGGGAGGGAGATGCACATGTAACACAGGAACAGGTGGGAGCAGGGCATGGGCACCACTCCCTCCCAGGCCAGGCTGGCACACCTCGCTCTGCCCAACTCCTGCTGCCCCGGAGAGCCGCTTCTTCTTGGAAAAACACCTCAGCAATGCAGTCACCAAGGAGCTGGCTCATCCCCTATTAACTCCAACGCATCTCAGATAGAAATCAGGCACTGATGGCACCGTTCCACAGCCATTTTCCCGGTTCCAGTAAAACATAAAAAAGAAAATAAACCAGCAGTGGCATTTCAAGGCAATTATTCAAAKGGTCAGGAGATACAGACCAACACCGAGGAGCTGGAAAACATCAAGTCCCTCTAATGCATGGGGATAACAGGATAAGGCTGTCAGTTCCCCTGCAGGGAGGGACGCAGGGATCGAGCCAATATAATCAAGTTTTGGGCTTCACTGACCTCATCTGCTTCTCAGCTGTCATTATCCACGGCACACAGTGAAATATTCAGGTGTGACCATGCCCTGGGCTCTGCAGAGGCCCCAGCACAGATCTCCCTCATAGCAGCAGCCAGGACACAGCTGCTTGTGCTCTGTGCTCTCCTTCCCTTGGTTCTTTATTTACAAATTTCCAAGGCTCTGCCACAAGTGAGTAGAATTGAAGAAAAAAAAAAATAGGAGCGTAGATTTTTTTTCTTCCCTGTACAAATTCAAAATAGAGACCCCAATGTGAATATGGGAAGGGAAGCGTCCCCTGTGCTGCTCTTTGTGGAGGAAAAGAGATTTCCCCTCCCATTTCAAGGTCTGTCCCTGTAATGCCAAACTTGGAAATCACCTGTTCAGTGGCAACGCAGCCCTCGGCGCCATCAGGGACACAGGAGAGCCGAGCAGTGACAAAAGCTGCGTGTAGCCATAAGGCTGCGTTTACCCCAATAACATCATTTTCCATCAGGTCCCAGTCATTCCTTGTGCCCTGAACCCCTGCAGGAGCAGGGATCAAGCAGAGGCTGCTCTGAGGTTCCTGCTCTCCCCCGTGGAGCCCTGTGACTCCGTGCCAAGTGATGATGTTACTGACCATGGAAAGGAACCAATCCCCAACTGGAGGAAAAGCATTTTTGCAGGGAAACATCATCGCTGAAACCCTATAAACAAATCTGTTTTGACACAGCAGAACAAAGAGCTATAAAAGGAGAGATCGGGAAAACCACCGCTAATGGGTGGTAATTCACGTGGTGCCCGCCAGGCTGTATTTTTGTAATTTCTGTCCCTTTGGGACACTGGACTATGATTTCCAGAGCACAGAGGAACATGGGAACAGCCAGGACAGATGTGGGGTCACGCTCAGCACCCCATGTCACGGAAGATGCTCTGGAGGAGGATGTGGTGAGGAAGAAAAGGGCTTTACAAGAGCCACAAGTGATGGCCTGGGCTGTCCCGGGAGCTCCTCGGGACTGAGCTGACACCCACCACAACTCTGCTCCCCCAGGGTGTGGACAATGCCCCAGGAGTGGTGTCCAAGACATCAGAATTTGGGAACAGCGTGACAGGTGACAGCCGTGGCCAGGYGGCTCCACGGGAAAATAATCACTTCTAATCTGCTTAGAAAACTTCATCCCTTGGGAAAACACAGCATACCTGCCTGTGGGGCTGGGGGAAGACCCTGCTGGATGGAAGGTTTAAAGAAATAAATTAAATTTGTGTAAGGGGCTGAAATCCATGGCAGAGGAGCAGTTCCCACATGAGCTGAAAGGGGGTTACCATCACTGCTCCCAGAAACACAGCTCTGGCAGGATCAGCTCTTACTGGGTTCCAATTTTTGGGTTAATTCTTCCCAAAAGATCTATTTCTCCAGCAATAAATCACGGTGAGGTGCTGCTCCATGGGGCAAGCTCCAAATCATCCACAGAAACCCCCAGATCCCCGAGAGCCTCTGGACAAACCTCMGCCTGGCTCTGTGCCTTAAATCCCACTGGATTCCCACTTGAACCGGACCAAAATAAAACAGAGAAGCCAGGCAGGGCCCCATCTCTTACTCAGGATCAGCTGCTTCTGTTTATGGGAAATTGTGGTGCCGTCAGCGCTGCCCACGCGGGGCAGGCACTGCAACGCTTCCATCCTCGGAGAGAGGGGAGCAGGAGCCCCCCAAACCCCTCCCCGGAGCTCAGCAGGGCTGCCCCGGCCCTTTTCACAGGTTACRGAGTGAGAACAGCCCTGGGCTCTGCGCGCTCCATTCCTCCCCCATCCGTGGGAGGTTTCTGGGCTGCTGCTCYGAAAAGGGATTTGAGGTCAGGCTGACTCAGTGCATCCCAAAAGGCACCGACTCCCTTTGTTTCGGTTCAGGCCCGGGGCAGCCACCCAGCACCGCTCCAAATCCATGGGAAGAGAGGCAAAACAAGGAATTCACCCTCCCCTTCCCATCAGGTGGCAGCCCCAGTCCCAGGGACGGGCAGGTGCTTTCTGCACACCCAGAACCAGAGCAGACCCGCKGTCCAAAAATCCCAGCACAAACCACAGCTGCCCATAACCTTCTCCAAGGGAAGTGGTCAGTGCTGGGGACACAGGGGATGTTTCCAGAACCCGAGGAACCTAAAACATCGCTTTTCTCCCAGCCACGAGCAGTAACACAGAGGGTGAAGGGCAGGAAGGGCCTCTCCATCACACGCCCTCTCTCCAGGGATCCTTGGTACCTTGGCACTTCGCTCTTCCTTTCCAGCCCATCCCGAAGAGCCATCTCCACGTGGAGCACTGCCAAAACATTTATTAGAAGAGTGCAGGCTGGCCAGGCTCCACGGGACCCCGCTGCAGCTGACCACAGGGCTAGAGAGAGGAGCAGCCGGACTCTGCTGGCCCTGGGGGTGTCCCCGCGCCCCCAACATCCACAAGGAGACGCAGGCGTTTGTTTCCTCGAGGGCAATGTGTCCCTGCTGGGGCGTGGGCAGGGAGGAGAGGCTGGCAGTGCCCCCACAGCAGGCAGGAGGCAGCGCTCGGGCACTGCAGAGCTCCCAGCAGGGAGATCCCGGGTTGGCTCACAGCGGGCACTGCCCGGGATGGCGATTGCCCTGCACCACGGTCCGGCGTGGCCTTTGGCTGCTGCTGGCTTCTGTCACCCCTGCTTTGGCTGCTGCTGGCTTCTGTCACCCCTCCCACAGCCACACGAGGGTGCAGACCCGCCCCAATCCTCCCCGGAGCAGAACGAGAGCGGCCGCAGCGCTGGGAGGGAGCGCTGGCACGGAGAAATAAATGAACGGGCATTTGTCTCGCAGGGAGGGACAGCGAGTAAAAGGCGCTTCCTAAATCCATCCACAAACACGAGAGCAGCGGCCGCCCCTCCCAGAGGGCGCAATATCCGCACCYCGGGGCTCCCCTGCGCGACAGAGCCGCCAGATCACTGCCGACAGAGCTGCCACATCTGCACCCCGAGGTGGCACAGCTGTGACCTGGCACGGGGAGAGAGTTCCCTGTCGGCGGGCACTGCTGGCAGCCCCTCAGCGCCACGATCCTGCCAGGAAGCACTCGCACACCCTGTCCAGACAGGTCTATTTACAGGAGAAGAGCCGCGGACGCGGGGCAAGGAGGTGTCCCCCAGCCAGCACGGCCAGCCGCTGGCACGGGCTGTGTCCCCCCGGGCCCGGCCGGGTGCTGTGCCCAGCCACCGCGTCACCCTGGCACCGGCTGAGGGCAGGGTCACTTTGCAGGCGCTGTTTTCAGAGTTCGGGGRCAGCCACAGCTCCCTGGCTGCACGGACAGTCCAGAGAGAGGCGGGGGATTGGCCGGTGGCACCGTGTSCTGGCAGCAGCCCAGGGCAGTGACCCGTGCCAGCCGGAGAGGCGAGTGTCCATCCCGCTGTTAGTCGTTCTCGCTCTGCAGGGGACAGAGAGGAGAGCAGGGTGAGGTGCCAGCCCAGCCCAGCCCCTCTGCAGGGCCACCCTGCCCGGCACAGCCCTGTCACCTCACCTCCATTTTGCTGTATATCCAGCTGAGGAGCTTTGTCACACGCGTGTACACTCCGGGCTTGTTCTTCTGGCCACATCCTGTCCCCCAGCTCGTCACCCCAGCCACGTACCAGCGRCCGTCGTCCTCRCAGACYARRGGCCCTCCGCTGTCACCCTGGCTCAGAGGGGCAGAGCAGTGAGGAGGGGGCACAGGAGATGCCCCTCGGTGGGTACCCAAASGGGGCAGCTCTGCCCTGGAGTGCCCCAGCTCACCTGGCAGGCGTCCTTCCCTCCCTGCAGGTACCCGGCGCACATCATGCGCGGGGTCAGGTAGCCCTCGTACACCTTGTCGCTGTTGCAGATCTTGTAGTCGATCAGCTTCACCTCGGCCTCCCGCAGCTTCGGGGAGGTGTTATCTGCAAGGCACGAAGGGTTGTGGGGCCTCATCCCCCTCCCCGGCCCCGCGGCAGCAGMGGCGGAGGAAGCGGCTGTTTCTCACAGCTCGCATTTCTGCAAAGCCGCAATCGGGAGGGCGATCCCGAGAGTTTTCGGTGCGGGGAAGCGCTCGGGGAGCGCAGCATGGGCTGGAGCCGCCCGCGGGGAGCCACGCTCCTCCCTCACCTTCATTCTCCCGGGTTTTCCCGAAGCCGGTGATGAAGCAGGACCGGCCGGTCTGGAATCGCTGGCCGTACATGGGCAGGCAGGCGGGGCGGACCTGGGCTGCAGGGACACGGGATGGGAGCCGGGAGGGCAGGGAGAGAGGGAAGGAGGGACGGAGGGAGGGATGGATGAGTCACCCGGGACAGAAATCGCCCCAGCCCTGCAGCCAGGGAGGAGCGTGGGGCGCACGAAAGGGTCCCCTCTCTGCCCACCCCAGCAGGGTCTCCCCGGCCCCGCTGAGCCCAGGGCTGTGTGTGCCACACTTTTCCTGGCCACGGGACCGGCGAGGTGGCCACAGCAGAGCAGGTGCTCCAGTTAGCAGCAGCCCTGCACTCCCCATGGTTCCGAGGCTCCTGCCCATCCCCAGATCCTCCATGTGCCCCAAAAACCACCCCAGCCAAGCCCGGGTGAGCTGTGAGAGCTCACCTGAGAGCGTCAGCGGCCTGGAGAGCTTCATGAGGGCGATGTCGTAGTCGTCGTGGTCGTCGCTGTAGTTGGAGTTGATGATGACCTGCGACACGGGGATGCCCTCCATGGGCTGCTTCAGGTCCGACACCCCTCCGTACACCTTCCAATCGTCCAGGATCTTCATGCTGTTCCTGGCAGGGCGAGATGGGGCAGGAGGGAGTGAGAGCCGGGCCGTGGGGCTGGGCTGGGTGCCCGGGCTGGCCGCAGCACTCACATGAAGAAGCAGTGGGCAGCAGTGAGCACCCACTGCGCGTCGATGATGGTGCCGCCGCAGATGTGGATGGGCCCGTACTGCACGCTGACCTGCCACGGCCATTTGTTCACTGACGTCTCCTTTCCCCCGATGATCCGGCCAGAAATCCTCTGCCCGCAGGCTGCAGGGGAGAGCAGGGCTGGGAGGAAGCTCAGAGGGACGGGGARCATGGGGGGGACACACAACACCCCCACAACCCAGGGGCACCACGTTCCGAGGGGCACTGGGGACCAGGGAATGCAATATCAATTTTCTGTCACCCAGACAATTTCATGGAAAATGCCCCATTTGCCAAATCGTCTGCAGAGAAAGGGAAAAGTGCTCCCAAGCCTGAAAAGGGGGCCCACCCTTGGCCTTATCGCAGCCTGCTCCTTACTTGTGCATCGGAGAGAGACGTACTTTCCTGTGAGACACTGGGAGCTGCAGAGAGAGCAGGGAGAGCCAGCCTCAGCCCCATTGCTGCGGTGCCCGGGCAGGGACAGGGCAGGGAGGGGAGGGACAGCCACCCTCGGCCCCTGGGCTGGGCAGGGGCAGGGCAGGAGCTGATCCCGGTACCTGTTGAGGCTCTGCTGGATGGTGTCTCTCTCCTCAGTCACCGTGAGGCTCTTGCCAGGGACACGCAGGGGGATGAACTCGGTCTGTGACGCACTGGGAGGGGAGAGCAGAGGCAGCGAGGGTCACCCCATGCAGGCACTGACCCCTCGGTCCCTGCCCTGTGCCCRGAGCGGCGCTGGACACGCCGCCTTCCAGAGGGAAAACACAACACCGGGGGGAAAAACGCATCAGCCCCTGCACCAGAGCAGAACAACCCATCCTGCAGGAATTACTTCTGAAATCCCAGCTGCCGGCAGGTTTTCCTGGAGAAGGACTCGTCCCAGTCACTGCTGCACACCGGCAGCCACTGGCTCTCGGTGCTGGAGTAGACGTGGAGCAAGGACTCGTCGGAGGAGAAGCGCACTGCGGGGTGGAGCAGGCGGCTCAGGGGTGCCCGGCGCCCCGGGGCTCCCCGGGCTCCCCCCGTGCCWGCTCCCAGAGCCTCACCACAGCCCAGCTCGTCGCTCCTCTGCGAACAGTCGACGATGCCGTCGCAGCGCACGGCGCTGTCCTTGCAGCTCTCCGCCGGCTCCTTGTACACGATGCCCGTCTGTGACCGCCAGAACATGACTGGAAAGAGGAGAGGGCCATGCTGAGGCCAGGGCTGGCCATGGGTGAGGGGCTGTGACCCACCGGGGTGGGCATCCAGAGTGTGCCAGGCTCAGGGCCATCCCCAAGCACCGGGTGTGAGCGTGAGGAGTGTTTGAGCCAAGTGAGGGGCAGCTGGACATGGGGCCGGGGGAGGACTGACCACCCTGAGCACCCCCTGTGCTGCCCAGCTGCTGCAAACCCCTCTCCYTCCATCCCCAGAGAGATGCATTCATCCCGGGAGTGCTTCAGACCCGGCTGGATGTCACCAGGGTTAAAGGGGTTCATTCCCTGTTGCCTGTGCCTGTTCTGCCCGTGCATCACAATTTATTGGCAGATCCTGCCTCGGGTGGGTGCTCCAGTGCCCACCACAGCGAGCCCAGCAGAAAGAAAGCACATTGCATCCYCCAGTCCCCCAAACACTGCCACCAGCCCAGGCAGCAGATCTCCTTTTCTCCTTCTCCCAGCTCCCATCTCTCCACCAGATGTCAGGAACACTCAGGGAATGGGAAGAGCAATCGCTGCCTCTGGGTTTCCCTCTGGCTCTTCCCAGCATGGGTATCCCCAGCCTCTGCTGACCCCCAACCCCTCTGAGGTGCCCTCCAGGAGCCACCCGGGCCAGGCCCCCACTCACAGAGCAGGATGAGGGCGACGAGCAGCACGATGAGCACGGAGACGCAGAAGATGAGCGCAAGGCGCCGCTGGCTCATGCAGGGAGCTCTGAACATGGAGGATCCTGGCAGCAGGGCAGAGGCAGGGTCAGGGGTGGGGCAGCTGCCTGTTCAGAGCCCCCAGACCCTGCTGGGAGAGCAGGGCTGTGCACACCCCAACCTGCGCTGTGGTCACCATCCTCTCCCTCGCACCCCAGGGAAACACCCCCTGTGTTTTGGTGCCATCCCCACCTCCCTCCATCCCTCCCCATCCAGGGCCAGGGTTCTCCCTGATCCCCATCCTTACGTGTGCTCTCACAGGCCGAGCAGGGGCTCGGGGCCGGRCCGGACTCGGGGCTGTAGGGTTTGAAGCTGATGCCCAGGACGTTCTCTCGGGGCGGCGGAGGTCGGGCACCGAAGATGCTGCTGACCGTGGACACATGGAGGAGGCTGGGGGGCACACTGCTGGGCGAGGCAGTGGTCTGTGGGCACAGGGGACTGTCACCAGCGGTGGCTGGTGCCCGTTGGAGAGTGCCACCCCCCAGATGTGAAGGGAAAAGCGACACAGGACGGAGCTGAGCCCTCCGGCCCCACAACCAGCCTGTTCCTCACCGTACCATGAGCCTTGGGCACAGCCACCACTCCAGCGCCTCTCCCTGTGCCAGTCTGAGCCATGTCCCACCCAGGATGGCCCCAAACCTGCTGTCCCTGGGCTTTTCCCCTTCAGGTGGCTGAACTTCCCGGAGCCATCCCAGCGAGCCGAGCAATCAGCCGGGTATTTGGCATGGTGACAGTCACGCTGTGACTGCCCCAGTTCCACGGGGCCAGTGCCCCAATTTATGCATCTATCCTTAATTAGCCATTTGAAAAATACAGTGCAATTTCCAGCTGTCATTTAGTAATACATAATAATCGGTGTTTTCCAAGCCCTGAAACGTCCTGCACCCTGGAATGCTGCTCTGCAGTTGTGTCACTCCCGATTCATGAATTCAGGAAAGAATTATGTATCTATTCAAAGGAATTATGTTTCCTTTCCTCAAAATACGCTCTTCCAAATGCTCCTTCAGTGACAGAAGCCGGAGCCTCTCGTTTTCCTTCAGAGAGGACCTTTGAATAAATCCCCAAATAAATGCTGCTTCCTCTGCCTTTTGTAGGATGGATGGGGCTTGGAGGAACSTGGTGGAAGGTGTYCCTGCCCATRGCAGGGGCTGGAACTGGAGGAGGTTTGAGTCCCTTTCAATCCAAACCATTCTGGGATTCTGTAACAGCGCTTCTGAAAGGGAACCCAGGGAGGAGTGGAGCCACCACCCCACAGGGATCGCTCACCAGCCAGAATGGGCTCTATCATCCCTCGGGTAAACCGCCTCTGATTTTTGGTCCTGCACTGCTAGAGATCACTTCTGCCCATGACAGAAATCATCCCTGTCCCTGCCAAGCCAGCGAGCACAGCTCCGGGACGGGCAGCGATCGGGCACACGGGCACAGCAGCGGCACTGATGAGAGCCCCCCTCGCCCTTCCAGCCGGGTTTTCTCTCCCCTCGTGCTTCCTGCCGGGAACCAGAGCCCTCCTGAGCAGCCGTGAGGCTCGCTCTGTGTCAGCCCGGCTGTGCCCTCCCTCGCAATGCCGTGGTGTAACTTCCTGGGCATTATCTGTGAGTCACGGTGCCGGCGTGGCCACGCGTCCCGCAGCACACCGGGGACACGCCTGCCCCGCTCGGGCTGTGCCTGGAGCTCATCCATCCCCGCGGAGCCGGCGGCCACAGCTCCCCGSGCTCCGGGAGCGGCCGGGCCACCCGCCCTGGCCAGCAGCGGGCTGTGCAGGGCCACCCCCCGGCGCAAACCTCCTCCCACCCCCGCGGGGCCGCGGCACGGGTGCCGCTAATGTCCCCTGGCCACGGGGAGCCACCTCCCCACGCGTGGCGAGCTCTCCTGCGYGTGGGGAGGAGCGGAGAGAGGCGCTTTCCGGGGCAGAGACACTTTCTGTTTCACAGCATCGCCCCACTCACCCCCTCCCCGCAGCAGGGACGAGCCTGGGTGTGCTCCAGGTTTCCCTGCACATTTCCTGCCTTCTCCCAAAGGTTCCAGGGAGCCCAGCAATGTTCTCCTCGAGGCTGGGGAGGGCTGGAGGGTGCCCTGMTCCTTGGTGCCCTCCCCTAATGAGCCTGAGCAGTCACAGCGCTGATGGGATTTCAGTTTTCAGGTGCCCACATCGTGGGGCATCCCTGGGTGCCCTCAGTGCCCACTGTGGGTGTCAGCCAGAGCTGTGGCAGCTCGAACAAAGCAATGTGGGGATGCCAGGAACCCTCCCTGGGAAAAGAATTTGTCCCGTCCACGTATAAAGGAGGTTTTTGTAAATACTCTTTTACCCTGGCGTTTGTGTGCTATCTCCTCCTGTCTGATATTTCACCTCTCACCCTGCAGCTGCTGTAACCCTTTGCTTATCAGACCAGCAGAACTACAATCCTCCAAAGGAGAAACCTCTCCATCACACCCAGCTTCCCCCAGGGAGCCAGCAGCACTGGATGCCACAGCACTCCCACCTCCGGAGTGCAAATATATCAAATTAACACCGAAATGTGCCACAGGTCAAACTGCCCTGAGCGCTCCTCAGCACAAAGCACATGCCCCTTCTTACRCTCAGGTAAACTTTCAGCCACTTGTTTCCTTAAAAGTCTAAAGTCTAAAGAATTGTGGGAGCCTATCAAAGCAGGTGGCAGAGCTGCTGGCACGGGCTCCAGGTGAGCARTGCAGGGCCCCTGTGGCAGAGGAAACAGCAGCAGTTTTGCAGAGATGTTTCTGTGGAGGAGAGCGTGTGACCCCGGTGAGTGAGCACTGCTCCTGCCCACAGAGCCTTTACTCATCCTTCGCTGGCTTTTGAGTAAAAGTCAGAGGCAGAGCTGAGCCCCGACRCACGTGTGGCTGCGGTTGGAGGCCTTTCCCCTGCTCCCTTCTGCAAACACAGATCCGTGCCTGAGGCGGCTGTGGGGAGGGGAGCATGGCCAGACCCTGCCTGGGCACAGGGGGCTGTCACAGGACAGCCAGGAGGGACTCTGGGGACACTCGGGGACTCCTGGCCAGTGACACTGCCTGTCTGCAGCACGAGCCCTTTGCCAAAGCTGTCAGGAGTGTGAACACCCCCTCACTCCCTCTGCCTGCTCCAGGGCTCGGAATGGAGCTGGGAGAGGCACCCAGACCAGGGACAGCAGCCCTGAGGTCCCCTCTGCACCCTGTCACAGAGGGAAGGCCCCAAAGCAGGGCAGCAGAGGACAATCACCAGGGAAAGGCGGTCCAGGCCGGGCTGGAGGCTCAGCATCCAGGGAATTCAGCCAGCAGACACCCACAGTTTCGGAGTGGGAGGGAAAGAGGAAGCCAGGGAGCACCTGAGTGTTGCAAACAGATCCAGGAGCCAAAGGACACAGGAACTGCCCAAAATGCAGAGCATCAGGAGGGGAGAGAGGGACACAGCCTGGCTGCAGTGGACTGGAAGGAGCTGCCCCAGTGGGTGACCRTCCTCCCTGGCCGCCCTCACCACGGCTCCAGCTGCTCACAGCCCCGTGTCCAGCCTGGGAACTCCCTCACCTGCTYGTGARGYRCCGATTGTGTGTGCAGRGCAGCTCAGCCAGCACACAACAGGGACATTGTCCTGGCGGGGACAAAGCCGTCCCCAGCCTCTGAGAGCCCCCATCCCTCCCGGTGACACCGTCCYGCTCGAGTGCCACAGGGGAGAGGGGCCTGCCTGGGGGGGACAGAGCCCACCCAGAACGGGGTGAGGGGCACTGCCCAGACCCCAATCCACACAGGGAACTGAAATCCCAAAGCACGCCAGGGACACTTTGCAAAGTGACTGTCGGTAAAGCCAGCCCCGTGTGGCCAGGGACAGACCACCCTATGCCAGCACCCTTTGGGCACAGATCCCAAAATGTTCTGGGGGGTGAGGAACTCACCTCATTCCACAGAGGGGCAAACAGAGGCCTGGAAAGGCAAAGCGACCCTGCTGTGGCTGCAGAGCCAAGGATGGCTCCTGGCACCCCTGATGGCCATTTAATCCGAGTGACAATGCCAAGGTGGCCCAGTGGGATTGTCCAGTATTGGGCAATTGTCTGTGTGTGTGGGCACCCCAGTTTCTGCCCCGCTGTCCCCAAGATGCAGTGATGCCACCCTGCTTTGGGGCCACTCCTCAGACCCAGCCAGGGTCCAGCACAAACCCGCAGTGCCCCCGCTCCTGGCTGTCACCCCCACGCCGAGGAGGGAAGAGCACGGGGTTAGAGCTGTCCCTGCCTCGCCGGGAGCCCCATCCACCCCGTCACCGCCGCCTTTGTTCCGGATGTCGCTGGCACGGCCGGCGCTGCTGAGCTCGGTAATTACTCGCTGCCTCGCCCGGTGCCCAGCCGGGATGGATGTTTTCCTCATGACAGGATGCTCAGCAGAGCCCCACATCCAGGGCTGCGCAGGTCCCAGCCAGCCCATCCCAGAACGGCGCTGGGAAAACTGCCTGGAGAGCAGGCGAGGGGAGCAGCGGGGCTGTGCCCACCAGTGCAGCGCTGCTGGAAAGTGGCACTGGGCTCAGGGATGTGCCAGGCAGCACCGGATCCCTCTGACAGCACCAACTGTTCCCCCCAGCTCGCAGCTCCGAGAGCCCGACCCCTCTGCCAGCCCAGAGCTGGTGTCAGGGATGCTGCTGTCCCTCCCTCCGTGTGCCGGGGGTGTCAGAGGTACCAACTCCCCCGGCAGCTCCCCCAACTCCTTCTCCCTCCGGCTGCTGTGAAGGAACACCCGGAGAGCAGAAAAGAGAGCGGACCCTCCACCCAACCCCGAGGGGAGCGGGTCCGGCCAGCCCCGGAGCGCCCCTCGCCCCCAGCCGGGCCCGAGCCCGGAGCCGCCCGCGCTTACCGGGGATGTTTTGCCGTCCATGGGCCGGGATCGGGGTTAGGCTGGGCTCAGAGCCTCAGAGCYCCGGCACGGCCATGCCAGCAGCGCGGTGCCGAGCAGAGCCAGCTCCGCGGGGCCGGGGCAGGAGGCGTTTGGCGAGCGGGCTCGTACGTCAGTGCCCGCGCCGGCAGCAAACCTGTCGGACCTGCCGCCCGGCTCCGCCGCCGCCGGTTTCCCAACCGCTCCGGGCACAGCCTGCAAAACACCTGCCCCGCGCCGGCCGGCCCGGGATCTGGGGCAGGGGAGCCTGGGGAATCTGCTGAGACCTGGCCCCAGGGAACAGGAGCATCCCGGGGCTCCTCGCTGCTCTCCAGCCCACCCCAGCCCCGATTCCTCCCCTCTGTGCTCACACACAGCTCTCCTGCCCGGCCAGGTGCAGAGGAAAGGATGCACAGCCCTGTCTAACCCCAGGAAAAGCTCTCTGGTGTGACCCAGAAGTCAATATTCCCTGTTCCAAGTGCAGTGAAATGCCATTTCCCTCTGGTTTCTCTAGAGACATTTTCACTCCTTTGCTAATGCGTGATGCTTTTTCAAGGAGCCAGCAGCTCCTCATGCTCCTCCTGCGGGCACAACCTGGGGGTGACCAAAAGCTCAGGTAGAAACAGGTAAAAATATCCAGATTAAAGGAAAAAGGCCTGACTTCATTCTGTGCATTCTGATACCCACGACCCGCAGTGCCACACGTTTCTCCTGGCATTTTTCATGGTGTGAGTTCCCTGTTCATCCAGCTCCCCACCCACACCAGCTCAGCAGAAGGGCAGGGGACGAGCAGGGACATCCAGGCTGGGAGGATGGCAGAACCCCTTTCCTTTCCAGGCTGGAACAGCTCTCTGACCCCTCCTGCTCTCAGGATCCCCGCACCCTGGGGTGGCTCTGAGCCAGCCCTCACTTCTCTGTAATTTTCACAGGTAGGAGTGGTTTTTGGGGTTTTTTGTTTGCATTTTGCTCCTCTGCAGGCTGTGCCTGCACTGAGCTGCATCCCCAGACAGCCCTGAGCCAGCCGTGCCCTCCTGACCTGCTGCATCCACTTCARAAAGGGATTCTCAGAAAACAGCTCCAGGTGACAACTCCAGGAATCATTCATTGCTTGCTGRTGTTTCCACAAAGCCACCTACGGCRGGCAAGTTCCAGAGAAYAGGGTGTGTGGTTTGACTCCAGCAGTCTGATGGTAAATGTGAGCATCTCCCAGGTGAAATCCTCACCTTTCCTGCTGGTAACTGCTGCTGTGAGCCCTTTTCACACCCTCCCGCCCTTCCCAGCCAGCAGAGGAGTTAAARCACACAGCCAGAGCCGGCTCCACCGGCCCAGGAGAGCGCTGCAAGCCCCAGGCATGAGGGAATTAGGAAGAGGATCACTGTGCTCTGCTCTGTCCTGCAGCAGGGCTGTGCAGAACCAGCCCTCCGGCCCCATCCCTGCCCTGCTCGGWGCAGCATCACCGCTCTGACCCCGCTGGGAAAACATCCTGAGGGATACAGGCAGGGAAACACACGGACTCAGGCGCTCCTGGGCTGGGTTTCTCTGTGGTGTGTCCATAGGGAGGCATTTCAGGGTCACTCAYGTCACCCCCAGGTCACCCTGTCCCCTCACCCCGCAGAGCTCAGCTGCCAGCCCGGGTCCCACTTGCCATCCAAGCATTCTGCAGAACTCTCRTTCCTCCTCAGCCTCTTTCATTTTCCCCTAAGCTGCCAACCACTTCTCCCAAACCCCGGAACCGCCTCACCCACGGCTTTTTCACAAAGCTCCCGCTGTCCCGGGTTTTGCTCCCGTTGCTTTTGATTGTCATTATCTTACACAAAACACACTCTGTGGCTTTGTGTGGGACGGAATGTGCTTCATTTCRGGACTGCTCAGCTCAGGGGCTGTCAGATGTGACTCAGGGCTGAGGGCAGAGTGCAGGACAGAGAGCAGAGTGCCCAGGACAGGGAGGAGATCTGCTGCTGGTGCTCTGGCCAAGCTGTGAGTTGATGGAAACCCTTGGTCTTTAGGAGGAAGGATAAATCAGGGAAAACAGCAGAAATCTCCCACCTTAAGTATTTAAGATGGTTCTGCAAAGAGGAACCTGAGGTCCTGCATGTCTGTGCCCACCATGGCGCTCTCTGAGTGTGTGCAGAGCCCTTTTGGTTTCTCTTGCTCATTTTATCTGTGTCCTTTCTACTAATTCCCCAGTGGGAAACACCATTTTTTGATGAAAATCACCCTCCATCACATTGGGGCCCCAGGAAACCCCTCAAGCAAGCTCTGAGGCAAAGCAGAGMACTCACTGGGTGGTGATTCTGGTCCCAGCCTCACCAGACAGGCAGGACATTACCCKGGGTCAGACCCCACAGCCAGGGGACCACAGCCATTCCTGGGGGGCTGCCAGACCCCTGGGGACACTGTCAGACCCTCTGTCACACTGGGTTCCTGATGTCACCCCTGTGTGCAGGGTATTCAGGGCACAGCACAGCCCAGGGGGTGTCACTTGGAAATGGAAATGGAGAAATGGGAATTGTCAGCTCAGCCCAAAGGAGGGGAAAGCCAGAACCCTCTCCTGGCACTCCAGGGCTGGTTAGAACCTGGCTTTAGAACCAGGATTTCCCTGCTGGCAGCACAGGACACGGTGCCGTGCTCAGGTCACTCACCTGTGCCCAGCTTTTAACATCTCATTCCGTAACAAAGCAGCAAAGGCAGAGACACCATTTACTTTTACTCGCCTTTCTCAGCACTGCCCCGCTCTGCTCAGAAAMCCCCCCAGGATTCTTCCTTTAAAGCTGCAGTCGGAAATGCCCAGCCCGGCCTGAGGCTTYGGCTGGGGCTGAGTGGGTGCGCAGCGAGGAGAAGTGGAAGTGGCTGCGAGGTGACTCTGCTGGCGCTGCCTGAACGCCTCCGAGACGTCACTGAGCCGGCCCCCGGGGGAAAAACGAGCGCTCAGCTCCCTCCGAGACAGAGCCCTGCGCTCACCGGGCTGCCGCGGAGGATGCTGAGGGGCCATGGTCCCCTCTGCCACCGCCCTGGCGCTGTGCCTGGCGCTGCTCCTCGCCTGTCCCACACACGGTGAGTGTCCTGAGCGGGTTTGCAGCCCCGTGGCTCCGGGTGGGTTCCTTGGGACGGGAGGGAGCGGGCAGGGAGGGGGTTGGAGGGACAGTTTGGCTACCTTGGCTTTGGAGCAGGACACAGCCAGGGCTGCCTGCTCTCCGCTCGCCTTTCAACGCTGTTTAGGAGCCCGAGGGCTCAGCGAGGGTCACCAACCTCGCTTGTCGCCACTGGTGTGACCACGTAGCCACAGTGCTAGGCTGGGTATTTGCCAGCAGACGGTTGATGGGGAAACCTTCCAAGGAAAGGTGGCAGATGTTATCAGCGGGGCTTTTCTGCCAGGTGACAATACCGAAATCAGGCGGGAGGTGTGAAAAGGTCTGGTTTCATCCAGGCAGCARATGAGCAAAACAGGAAAGCCGAGTCCCAACAGCGCTGGTGACAAACGGCAGGGAGTGGGGGGATGCAAATGCAGCTCCGTTCCTAGGGCAGAAAAACACAGAGAAACAGAAAAGCACGGTTCAGCTGTTCCCAAAGAAAGAGGAAGGACAGGAGGGGGATGAGCAAACGCTGGAARTCAGAAAACGAAATCCGGGGAAAGGCTGGCGTGTTTCGGGTGGTCAGCACTGTTACGCCACGGGGTGATGGCCCAGGAGGCCGTGTCCCTGTCACACTGGGGGACAGCGCTGTGCAGCCCCCCCTGACCCCCCGTGTGTCCCCAGGGGAGCGGCTGGCGAGCCCCCGGCGTGTGCGCTTCGCCGCGGAGGTGGCGCGGCACCTGCTCAGGTGGGAACCGGGCCACGGCTGCCCCAGCAGCGCCCGCTACGACGTGGAGTACAAAGTGTGAGTAACCGTGACGGAACAGCGGGGTTCCGCCCTGCCCCCGGACCTGATTCCAGCTCTCTGCTCACCCCTGCTGCTCCTCCCGCAGCTATGGCTCGAGTATTCCCTGGACAGCCGTCCCAGAGTGCCGGAGRAGCTCGGGGCTCTCCTGTGACCTCACCGAATACACCCCGGACCCCGAGCGGCGCTACTACGCGCGGGTCAGGGCCGTGTCCGGGAGCCACACGTCCCCCTGGCAAAAGAGCAGCGCCTTCTCGCCGCAGGAAGGTGGGTTGGGGTCTGTGTTCATACACCCCGCGCTGGGGTGGCGGGGACAGGGTGCCAGAGTGCCTGGGAAGAGCTGTGGGATGGGGAAGAGCAGGGGTATTTCCCTCCAGCGGGCTGCGCAGCAGGGTGGGACAGCCCGAGGATGGGTGGGACAGCCACAGCTCGCTCTGGGGCTGCAAAAGCTGACAGCTGTGAACAGGAAACAGCCCTGAGCTGCTCCTGTGGCTGATCTGATTCCAGCCAGCCCCCGCCTGGTGGGCCAGAGCCTCTCCGTGASCGGCAACGCCATCCAGGTGCGGCTGCAGCCGCTCCTCCACTCCGGGAACGTCACACAGGAGTACGAGGACTTCCAGAAAAACATGGCCCGGTACCTCGTGTACGTCAGGAGGACACAGGACAACCAGACGGTGAGATGAGCTGCTGCTCCCGTGCTGTCCCCATCTGTCCCACACGGCGCTGCTCGAGTGGAAAACTGATTGATAAAGCAATCCTGTAGGACTGAGCTTTCTCACAGCCTTGGCATCACTGAGAGGTTTCTCTGCTCATTTATGGCAAATTCTCCAGCTCTTGTGGGGGTTTTGGGTCCAGCTGCTGTCATCGTTATGGCAGCACACCCTGGGGACTTTTCCCAGGGACAGCGGAGGGGGAGGAGGGAGGGAAGCAGGAGCTGGGGGCTCTTGGAGCTGGGGGCTCTCAGGTGCTCAGAGCTCTCAGAGCTCAGCCCCTGCTGTGTTTTTTGCAGCTCAGAGTGGTGGAGAGCAGCGCAGAGTTCACCATCAGTGAGCTGCTGTGGGGCACACGGTACTGCGTGAGCGTGGAGCTCAGCATGGCCAACCGGCCCGGCCGTGCCACCCGCACCCACGAGCACTGTGTCACCACCGGCCACCGTGAGTGCCACCCGGGGAGGGGACAGTCCTGGGGTGCAGACCCCGCCAGCCTCCAGGCCCTGGGCTCCAGGGCAGCCTCTCTGTGCTGTGTGCACTGAGGAATGACCCTCTCCCCCCTCACCTCTCTCGCAGGGAGAGCAGAGCTCCTCCCCGCCATCCTCGGCTCCACCTTCACCACCCTGCTGCTCCTGGGCCTCCTGGGGGCTCTGCTGGCACACACCTACACAAGGAAACCTGTGAGGACACCGTCTGTGCTGGTAAGGCACCGTGTGTGTCCAGAGGCAGGCTGGGGGCTGGGGAGCGCTGCGAGAGGCAGGCAYCAAGCAGGGATCCAGCACAGCTCACTCCCCTCTTTCTCTCCCTCCCAGAAGTCCTTCATGAAGCAGAGCTCGCTCTGGGTGGAGCATGAGCCCCCATCCTCGGGCAGCCTGGATGCAGACCCCATCCAGCAGCTCTTCCTGACCCACAAGGAGCCCCAGGCGGACAGCAGCCCTGGCAGCAGCACCAGCACAGCCCGGCTGCCCCTGGAGCAGGGCTGGAGGCTCCCAGCGTGGCCCAAGGAGCGGCTGTGCCCGCTGGAGCCCGCGGCGAGCAGAGACAGCAGCGGCACCAGCACCGACAGCGGCATCTGCCTGCACATCCCCTCCTCCTCCTCCTCCTCCTCATCCTCCTCCTCCCTGAGCTGTGCCGCGGGCCCCCAGGGCTACAGGCAGCAGCTGCCCGCTGCTGAGGACAGCGGGGTGGGCTTGGACAGCCCCTGTCCTGCTCCTGGCCACTCCTCTGGCAGTGGGAACAGCAGCCTGGGACAGCCCGGGCTCTGCGCTGTCACCGGCCAGCAGGACGTGACATTCCGGGGGTACCTGCAGCAGGCCAAGGGCACCGTGGAGCCTCAGAGACACCCGGAGCGGGGACTGACCCTCCCGGGCTGTGCAGGGTCCGTGCAGGGCCTGGGCAGTACCAACACCGGGCTGGACACTGCGTGCACCACGCTGGACACTGCGAGCTCTGGACTGGACACTGCGTGCACCACGCTGGACACTGCGAGCTCTGAGCTGGACACTGCGAGCTCCGGGCTGGACACTGCGAGCTCCATGCTGGACACTGCGAGCTCTGAGCTGGACACTGCGAGCTCCAGGCTGGACATTGCGAGCTCTGAGCTGGACACTGCGAGCTCCAGGATGGACACTGCGAGCTCTGAGCTGGACACTGCGAGCACCGAGCTGGCCATATCCAAAGGGTACCTGAAACAGTCCTGTCCCCTCACACAGGATCCATGCCGAGCCCCTGCCAGGGACCTTTCCAGCCATGTGGAGCCCCAAATCCCCACTCTGCTGAGCTGGGGAGCTCCAGGTGCTCCACTGAGCTCSAAAGGCAGCCCTGAGCTCCTGAAACCCCCCTTGGACCTGAGCATCTTCGACAGCCCTGACCTGCTGGTGAYGCTGCCGCTCGTGTCCAGCCTCAGCTCCGACTGGATGACCATCAAGCCCCTGAGCCAGCTCGGTGGGGACAGCAAGGACAGCCGCCTGTGACYCTGGGGCCACCAGCCCCGCACTCTGACCCAACTACCTCGCCTGCCCCCTGCCCTGGGGAGCAGCCACCGGATAAGCTACGCCGACCCCTGAATGTCCACAGTGCCGGGCCCACGCACGGCCCAGGAGCAGCAGCTCTGGCCCCAGTCCTGCTGTGGGCACCCCCAGAGCGTCCCTGCAGCCAGTGCAGCTAACGGGGCACAGGGATGGGATGGGCTGTGCTGGAGGGGCTCATCCCACCTTTCTGGATACACCAGGATGACTCCCAAGGGTGTCTCTGCCTCCTCAGCAGCCCAGCACAGGGACAGGGCCACCCTTGGGGCCTGGGCCAGCCCTGTGCTTCACTCTCGCCCATCCTGGGGCAGCACTGGGCTCCTCCTGCTGATGCCCACACTCCTGATGCCATCCTGAACTGTCACAACCCCGGCAGGCTGGCATCAGCACCCTGCCTGACCTCACCCTGCAGGAGCAAGGGGCTTTCCTGACCCTACAGAGACCCTTCAGCGYCCAGCCCCTCTGGGAGAGCCCCAGGACAGGATTTGGGATGAGCCCAGCATGAGCCAGGGCAGTCATACCCACACTATTGTCCATGTTCTGCCACTGTAACAGCCATTATTTATTGCATTGCTTTGGTAAATACAGAAAGGATGTGGTGTTGTTTATTTGGTCCATTTGTCCCTTCATCCTCTCCTGAGGTCAGGCTGAGCTTTCTGTTTCCAGATTTGGACGTTCCCCATCAGCAAAGGGTAACGTGCCTTTGCTTCACGTGGGGAAGGAGGAGCAGCTCCACATCACAKCTGGGAAAAGGAGAACCCAGCCAGCTCTCAGAGAGCTTCACACGCACCGGGATTCCTGGGGGGTGTCCCAGGGGAATTTGTGGGGGAACCCACCAGAGGAGCAGGAGAAAAAAATCCTAACCCTAACTCTAACACTAAACCCTAATCCTAAACCCTAACTCTTAAACCCTAACCCTAAACGCTAGCCCCTAAATCTGACCCAAATCCTAACCCTAAATCTTAACCCTAACCCCTAACTCTAACCCTAAATCCTAACCCTAAACCTTAACCCATAACCCTAAACCCTAACTCTAAACCCTATTCCTAACCCTGACCCCTAACTCTAAACCCTATTCCTAACCCTAAACCCTAACTCTAAACCCTATTCCTAACCCTAAACCCTAACTCTAAACTCTGTCCCTATCCCTATCCCCATCCTGGGCAGCTCACAGCGATTCCAAAGGGATGCCCATCCCAGGGGACAACACCCAGGGACATCAGCAGGGAACGACAGGAGCAGAAGGAGCCCAACCCGGGGTGCAGGGAGCCATCAGAGGTGACACTCAGGGCTCTGCCCCGCAGCTCGGCCATGGGCTGGGCTCATGGGATGATCTCAGAATTCTTCCCCAGCCCGGTCGATTCTGTGATGCTGCGAGCGGCTGTCGTCAGAGTGGAAACAGGATGAGACAGAGCAGCTCTGACTGCTGAGGGCACAGGGAAGTTCTTCTGAAAATCGCTCCATTTCCAGGAACCCTCAGGGTGGGATAGTCCCAGTGAAGCTGCTGGTGGAACCCTCCTGGGGGAACGTGTTTTCCAGGTGGAGGATGTTCGGGTTTGTTTTCAGCRCAGGCAGGAGGAGGGGGCTGTTCCTTGCTGAGTTTCCTTCTCTGAAATCCAACGTGGCACTCCTCACACGGGATCCATCCCTGTGTCCTGCCTGTGGAGCCTCCTCCTGCCCCTCCACCGGCCCCATCTCTTCTGCCTCTTCATATTTTGGGGGTCGGAGCTTTTTGCTTTCATCTCTATTTTTTTCAGCTTCCTCTGGAACACAGAGTCATCAAAAACGTGGCTTTTTTTTTGTTGTTTTTCTTTTAAACGCCTCTGACGTCAGAGGCTGAATCCTGTGTCGTACAGGGCTCTGCTGGCTCCTGCTCACCACAGAGGGCTCTCAGAGCCCAGGAGGTGCCATTTCCCCCTCTCCATGACCAGATCAGAGATCTCCCTTCAACCAGGAGAAAGCCACAAACCACGGGGTTCAGCTTTGACAGCCGAGAGCACAGATGGTCCCTCGGATTCTCTGGAAATCCCACTCTGTCCTCACCGGGCTCTCCACACACAACCGCGTGGCTCTCATGAGTTTTTGTTAGTTTTTCAATTTTCAAATGAATGGTTCCAAGGCCCCCCATGCCCTTTCCATGGCCACAAAATSTTCCCATGGTTGCTCTCCCGATCCAGGCACTTCATGGTCCCTTGCTCTGCCCAGACTGAAGGCAGTTGATGCAAAAAAATCCAGGAAAAAGCTCACAGGGGCTTTCCGAGGAATTTCCTTGTGGTGTCAGTGTGGAGAACCAATTTCTATGTTGGTATGGATGAGGAAGAGGAGGTCTGAGCCAGATTTCCCATTTCCTTGCGGTGTTTTCCGCAGCTGCACAAATCCATCCCCACAATCTGGGGCTCMTGGCTCTCCTCCTTGGCTGCTTTCCTAAGGAACGGTCTGGGGCCAGGTCTGCTGGGCATGCAGGGAGCTGGGGGGGCTCTGAGCCGTGGGGAATGGCTGCTCTCTCCAGGATGAGTGCTCTGGAACCCTGGGATGGGGCTGCATCCTCTTCCCCCATCCCAAAATGCGGTGCCAGCCCCAGGACCCCATAATGGCTGGAGAGGGGCAGAGAGAGAACTGCAGCTGGAGGAGCTGCCCAGGGATCCACGGAGTCGARTGTCCCTCTCTGGTGACATTCCAAACCCGAGGGACCTCGGACCAGGGGGTSTCCAGARRTCCCTTCCMRCCCCAACCCTTTGTGGTTCTTGTGAAGCTTTTTCAGCAACAGAAACTGCAATGTTTTCATTTCGGTCGAAATCCAAAGTATTCAGGGGCTGGTTTTGCAGAAGTGAAAAYGGAGGCATTCCCCCGGATGGTTTTGGTTACATTTTGGGTTGTTCTGGGTGGAGGGGGGTGAGAGGCAGCGAGAGGAAGCGCTGCAAGAGCAGCCGGGCTCCAGTTCTGTCCCTTTGTCCCCRGCCACGTGTCCCATCCCAGGCCGGGGACAGTGCGGAAGGAAACACAAACCAAAGCCTGTGAGGGGAGAAACCAAAACCCAGGGAAAGCCCCTGCAGCCCCACAGCCACAGGGGTTTTTGGGTGGAAAATCCTTGGGACTGTCCTGGGGAAAGCTGTGATGCCCAGGAGGTTTTGGGGCACAGTTTTGGACTCCACAGAGACACCCATGGGCTTGCTGGAGGACAGGGGGACAGGGACAGGGGGACAGGGATATGTCCTACCTGCTGGCCAGCCCAGCTCCCTCCTCACTGCCCCTGGTTGTGGAAGGGCTCGTAGCCACTGCCCGCTGTGCCCAGCGAGCCACTGATGCTGAATGGTGGCACCAGTTCCAGTGCCACCGACCCCAGCCCGCTGCAGGGGAAAGCAGAGATGTCACCAAGCTGCCTGTGCCCCTGCCAACAGCAGAGCTGGCTGGATTTGGGACTGGGGAGGGGTGTGACACCTCGGTACAGAGCAAAGGAGCTGCCAGCCCGCCCCTGGTCCCCTCATGCTGTCACTCACCGCGAGTGGTAGAGGTTGAAGACAAAGTCAGGCCCTGGGGAGGTGGGAGAAAGAGGAAGGTGAAGTGTCAGAGCCGCGTGAACCCATGAACCCCCCTTTGCTCTGCCATGAGTCTGTGTGGCAGGGTGGGGACAGGCAGGACAGCCAGCGGGACAGCACCGGGACATCGCTGTGTGTCCCCTCCTCACCTCAGCGTGACCCCGGCTTGGTCCAGAGCCCCCAGCACGGGGGTATCCTGTGCTCCCATATCCCAGCGCCCGCAGCCCTGTGCTCTGAGCCCTGTCCCCGCTGTCCCCTGCCCTGTCCCCTGTCCCCTGCCCGTACTCACGGCGCCGGGAGCAGCCCCACCGGTACCACCGGATGAAGGTGTAGCCAAAACTCGCCAGAATCAGCAGGGCCAGCCCAATGCCCACGGCAACCCCGAACACTCTGATGGGGTCGTGTCCTGGAAAGCAGAGGGAGGAGGGGCTCTGCACCAGACAACGCTGCGAGGCTGGGGTTCGATTGTCACCTGCAGGTGACACCTGGGAGCTGGGGACAGCTCTGCAGCATGTGGGGACGGACTGCACCCTACAGGGCTGCTCAACACCGTGGCACAGAGATTTTTGTTACCCCAAAAAGCCCCACGATCCYGTCATACAGCCACCACCTCTGCTGTCCCCGGCGGGCTGGCAGCTGGGGCGGTCACTGGCCACCCTGCCGGTGCTGTGTCCCCGCTCGCACCCTCTGGKTGATGCTCTTTTCCCGGTGGCGCTGGGAGCCGCCGGCGAGCGCAGCCGGCCCCATTTCTGGGCTGGCGGTTCCCTCTAGAGGATGCTCCTGTCAGGACGAGCAGCCTCCTGCCGCCAGCGCCGGGCTGGGGCGGGACACGGACGGAGCTGTGCGGGACCTCTGCGGGCCCTGCACCTTCCACCCCTCCCATCCGCAGGGTCTGGCAAAATCCAGCACCGCTCAGTGATCCTGGAATCGTCGGGAGGACGCCAAGGTGCCCAGCACAGCCTCTGAGCACCCATTCCTGCTCTGCCGGGGCTGTGCCAGGAGGGCACGGGCGGTTCGGGCACTGCCCCGCAACACGGGCAGGGGGCACAGGGACGGCGCTCTGCGCAGCACCGGGAGCGAGCAGACAGCGGAAAGGGATGAGCTAAGAGCTAAATTTAGGCAGATGCCAGCGGAGTGAGAACACTTCCCCTGTGGTCACGGTGTTTACACAGTGAAGAAGGTCCCAGGGCGTCCTGTCACCGCAGCGCTCGCTCCACCTGCCGGGATCCGCCGGGATCCGCCGGGAGCCGCAGAGCGCCGGGCCCCCGCTCCAGGACCGCCTGTCCTTCCCTTCCCTTCTCCCACCAGCGCTAGGGACACATGGGTGGCCAATGTCCCCTGCTTCGGCTGGGCAGGGCCGGGCTGGAGCCCCGGGACCCCCGGCCTGGCTGAGCTCCCGGAGCTGCGGCGGCCGTGACTCACGGCGGGAGCTGCGCACAGGAGCCAACGTGGTGCAAGARCCTCCCTGAATCAGCGGCGGCCGAAACTGCCCCGTCCCCACGCCCACTGCCCGTGGGAGGAGACRGCGTCATGCCCAGGCCCTGCCCCTGCCGTGGGTGGGAGGTGTTCCTGCCCTGGCGCCCTCGGGAGCAGCGATCGCCACATCCCGGGGATGGCTCCGAGCAGCAATGCCATCGGCAGCGGGCCCAGCTCACGGGGCAGAGGGGAGGAAGGTCCCCAAAGCACTGGCCATGCCATGATCATCCCATCTGTGCCCCGTGAGGGGGGACAAGGCCACCCACTGACCTGTCCGGGTGTCCATGTCCCTGCGCTGTGCCCCAGGGGCTGCTCAGGCTGTCCCGGGCTGGAGCTGCTGCTGCAGAGCCCTGCRGGTGCTGGAGCCTGGCACGTCCTGCCTGTCCCCTCCTCTCCCGGTGACAGCTGCCTCACTGCAGCGAGGCTGGGCACCAGTCCTGGCCCACTGGTCCGACTGGTTCGCAGGGAGAAAGCAGAGGAGCTGCAGCAGGCGCGACAGACGGCACGGCCGTGCCCAGCCCAGCCTCCCCTCCCGCCTGCGGGGGCAGCTCTGCGAACTGGGAGCACTGGGAGCACTGGGAGCACTGGGAGCACTGGGAGCACTGGGGACAGCGACCTGCGGGGATGCAGAGCCAGCAGAACGCAGAGAGGACGAGGGGAATTGCAGCCCCCAGGCCCCGGCAGTGCCCAGCTCAGAGGGATCGCTCCTTGCTGGACAGTGCAGAGCACAGGGGTGAGCTGTGTCCGTGCGCCTCGGGGAGGGCTGTGGTCACCCACTGACCCCTCCCTGACCCCAGGCGGGTGGCCGGAAGCCCGAGTCATGCCAGGCTCTGCAAACGGAGCCGCACTCCAGGAAGCAAAGCCTCGGAGGCGCGCAGGGCTGTGACACAACATCTGCAAACCTCGGCTGCTTCCTCAGAGCCTTCGGAACCTCGGAGGAGGAAGAGCTGTTCCTGCCGTGCCACCTCCCTCCCCACGGCTGCTCCCGGGCTGCTCTCCCTGCCACGGCAGCGGGGCTGGCACTGGGATGCTCTGGGGAGGCTGCACGGACCCACCAGGGCCCCAAGCTCTGCCCAGCTCCCCAGTGCTGCAGCCCCTAAACCATTTTTCAAACTGAAATCTCCCACAGTAGCACAGGCACTCTCTGGATGGACCTTCCGTCCGTCCATCCCTCCCTCATTCTCTGGGCATCACATGGACAATGAGGATGGAGATTGGAGCCAGACGAGACCTCTACACCTGCCAAGGGGGCTGGAACCTCAGTGTGAACGTGGGGAGGGTGTCCCTTACCTGCAGAGCCACAGCTGAGTCCCTGGGCAGGCTCTGGGAGCGGGCAGGATCCCCGCTGGCAGGGATGAGCTGGCACAGCGGTGGCACAGCTCCGTGACGAGCGGCAGGTCGGGGTGCTCCGCAGTTTCCCGTTGGCACAGCCGCGCACCTGGCAGCAGCGGGACCGTTGGGAAAGCTGGATTAGCRCAGGAGGAGGGGTAATTGGCTGCTCGGCACATCCTGCACACCCAGCACTTCCAGTGGGAGGGCAGAGGGCAGCTCACAGCCTCCCCGACCCCGGCCCGCTCCCCGTGCCACCCTCACCCCGCTGGGGCAGCGGCTCCTGCACACGTCAGCCTCCACCCCATCCCGCCAGGCTCAGCCAAGCCTCCATCGCAGASGGATTGATTATTCCTGGTTAATCACAGACCCATGACCCTCAGCCATCCCCGAGAGCACCCCACGGTCCCCCCGGGCTAACATTCCATGGGTGCCCATCGCCTTCCCTTCAGCTTCCCCCAGCGCTGCCAGCCGTGCCCTGGCGCTGCCGGGGACACACAGACCGAGTGACCCGAGAGCACAAACTCTCCTCCTTTCCTCCTCCACCTACTCAAACCTCGCTTTGAAAACAACCCAGCGCAACGMGGAAGAGCAGGACAAAGAGCGGGATGGCAGTGGATCCTCTTATCATCAGGAGGAGCAGGAAAAATCAGTCGGTGCACTTGTGATAAGCTGTTTGGTGACAGCAGCCCCACAGGTGAGTCACCCTCGAGTGGCAGATGCTCGGGAGATTACCGCAGGTGATGGTGCTGCTGATAGACCGGTGTTGGATTACAATACAAACCATAATTCCTGTTTCACAACTCCCCCTGTGGGTTTTAAGGAGGGCCGGGGCGGTCCTGCCCCAGTGAGAGCGCGGCGTGGGCACAGAGCGCAGGCACCGGGGCGAGGGAGCATCTCCGGCCCGGCTTCTGGGCACCGGGGCACCGCAGTCCCGCAGCGGGGACATCTCCCGGCTTTCTGCAGGCGGAAAGGACCGCGCTGGAGCTGGATCAACATGGTGAGCACCGGGA